GATTTCATACTATCAGATTAATGCTATAGGCAAGGGAGGATATTTTGATTTATATTTTGTGAGATTAATCACTTTATTTTTAGAGATAGCACACTGTAAGAGATTCTTTTGTCAACTTACCTAGTTAAACAGTCTTAACAATAAAAAAATATTAATCTACACTATTGTTTATTGAAGGTATTCATTCGTTGCTGAGATAGTTTTTGAAACAATTGAAATTGAAACAAACAATAATCCAAATTTGTTAAGATTAACGTTTTTATACAAATGAGAAGTATAGCTGGGTATTTCGCCTTTTACTTAACTGGATATCATTGTGCAAACACGGATCTACATCTGAGTAGCAAATATCTGTACTTTTTAAGCCTTTTTTCAAACGAATCGACTCCTACTAACGATGCTAATATACATCGTAAAACGATCAAAAAGATTATGTCAGCACTTTTTCCCAATACAATGTTATTTTGTATTAATATATTTTTAATCAATAAAACACTCTTTACATAGAACAAATATACCATTATCATTTATATTACAGGTGTGAAATAAATATATTCGTAAAGGTTTTATAACAAAAACATATATCTTATCATCCGTCATAGATTAATCATTTCATTTAAATCCTGTATAAATGGTTGCTTATAAATGACATCTTTATCCTAATAATATAAAATAATTTTGAAATTTGCGTAAGAAAAAAATGTATATATGTATACGCTTAAAAAATGCTTGTGTATAGTCTTTTTGAAAGTTGTGATAACTATTTCATGACACTATTTAAACAAGATTTTTAACTCTCTTTTTCAGATACACACATGCCGAAGAAGATTGTAATATCTGGAGATAACATTTCCTACGTCACGAAATAGACACTGTCACACTGGTCTACGTAACATTCCTATAGATGATTGATATACATGTATTTAAGTGCTTTTAAGAACTGTGTTTGAATGACGAATTTCTGTGAATACTGATTTTTAGTTTTGATGATTATTTTTAAAACTTTCTGTAATAATCAATTTGTGCTATGGACTCATTTTCCTAAAATAATATGTGAATTTTAACACGAACAAATGATATGAATATCTTTAAAATGTTTTATAGGTGTAATACAAGTGGCTTATAAAAATCATTGTTAAGATAAATAGAAAAGAACTTCAAGTTGGTATAGTTGTTTCTAGATTTAAACAACATGCAATTCATAAAGGTTACGGCTTGAAAATATCGAAAACTGTACATGTATAATTCGATCTCTAAAGAAAATATCGCAGTGCGGATTTTCTCCACCGTGATACGTATTTCATGACTCTGTATCGCAACAAAACGGCATATCGCCGTTCCGTTGCAACGCTACATTAATTTGTCCCTCTGGATTAAGGCTTGCAACAATATATGACTGTTGTAGCGAAGACATGTTTATTTTGTTTAATATATGTACATTTATTGAATATATGTTTATGAAATAATAAATATTTAAGAGTGACTCGATTTGGTTTTTACTTTATTATTTGAAATACTCCAATTGTGAAGATAAAGTTCTTAAGCATATGACTTTACAGTTCCCATTCAAAATGTGTAATAAAACATGTTCTATTGTAAAAGTCTGCATTTCGGTCATGCATACGTGTCACTTATATGTAAATGCATGCTTTTGATATTATCTGTATCTTCTTTTATCAAGAAAATACAGTTCTGTATTCCTTGTGGACAACTAAAAAATGCAATTCCGTATATCCCCTGTATATATTGAAAATACGATTCCGTATATCCCATGTATATGTAGAAAATACGATTCCGTATATCGTCTGTATATGTAGAAAATACGATTCTTTATATCATCTGTATATGTGGAAAATACGAGTCCGTATATCCTATGTATATGTAGAATATACGGTTCCGTATATCCTCTGTATACGTAGAAAATACGAGTCCGTATATCCTCTGTATATGTAGAAAATACTGTCCCGTATATCCTTGGTATATTTATAGTATACTAGGGATAACAACCTTGATATAGTCCGTATACGGGATTTAATTCTCCGTATACTTCAGAAGTACGAACAAATATACGTACATGTATATGGTGCAAATACGGAATTCCGTATATGCCTGATGCATATACGGACTTCCCATATACCCGGTGTTCCCTATACGGACTCGTATACTTGGTCCGTATATTCGACGAATACATCCCGTACACGCCCGTATATGTCAAAAATACGGGACCGTATATCAGTATAATTTTCGCAGTGATAAAAGTCACGGGGGGCGAGGTCTGGGCTATAAGGAGGGTGAGACAACAATTGCCATTTGTAAGAATTGATAACCTCCACTGTAGCTGCGGCGGTATGGGAGGGGGCGTTATCGTGAAGAAGGACATTTTTCTGTGCTAACCTGGGACGCATTTGCTTCAGCTTTTCTCTGAGATTTTTCAGAATTACTTCAGAATAGTACTTGGCGGTGACAGTTTGACCTTTTGGCATGAAATGAGTAAGTATCATTCCTCGTGAATCCCAAAAGACAACAAGCATGACTTTGCCAGCCGAAGGAGACAGCTTTAACTTTTTAGGAGGTGGGGAACCAGCTCGTTTCCACTGCTTTGACTGAGCTTTTGTCTCTCCAGTGATAATGCGGTTCAAAAACTTATCTCCTTTACGATTAAAACGTCTTAAATGTTTTTTTGCATTGGTTACTCTGGTTGCCTTTTGATCTGCAGACAGCTGTCTAAGCACTCATCTGGCACTTACCTTGCTAATGCCTAGGTGTTAGTGTAAAATCTTGTGTGCCGATGCCTTACCGATGCTAAACATGTTGGCTACCTCCTCCAAAGTTACTCGACGATTTTTGTTGACAAAAGCTTTAACATTTGCTACCATTATTGGGGTCACCGCCTCAGCTGGCCGCCCAGTCCTAGGCCTGTCACAAACACTTGTTCTGCCTTTACGAAACTGAGAAACCTAGTTGTAGAAGGTTGAACGTGATACACATTTATCTATCATATATCAGAGGGCAAAATACTGTGTATACACAACTATCATTGAAAATAAACTGACCACGTCATTGGCGATTTCACCAATATATAATGTGTGTATATAGCTGCACGTGGAAAGAGAAGAGCATGAAAAGTTCGGATATTTTCTGACCGTCCCTCGTACATTGTTACATGTATGCAGTTCAATTATAAGATAATAGTAATAAGATTGATTTGTCCCGTAAATGACCAGAGCGAAAGAAAATTATAAAACAGTGAGTTTCTCAATGAAAGTGATATTTCTTTGAGAAAAGTTTTGTTTTGATTCGTACTATTGTTTTCCTTTACACTTTGTTGAACTTATAAGACCATTTATGCGATGTTTAACTCATTTTTTGATTTTGTTAATATGGCCCAACCTTGCCAAAGGAATATCTGCTCCATTTCTGTGGCTTTTGTAAGGTTATTCATTTTGAAAATGAGATTAAAGCATATTCTGTATGAAATGCATTTCCATAAGGTGTTTTTAAAAAGATGTATTTTTGTCAGTTCAATAATTGATTCTCATTTCCAGATGTTCATATAAATAGATGATAGAAAGTATATTTTAAGAGACTAAATAAAATCGCCATACCATATGCACAAATTTAAGGACCATTGTCTCGAAAATGGTGATTTTTTTTTTCTTGTTCAATCTAGAAAATTTGTCATAGGGAAACATCTAGGACATCTGTACTGGTAATATTTTATATTTAAGATGTCGAGATACTTATGATTTTGGAATGGAATAGAATTTTAATATTCAAGAAAGTTCATTTTTCAGTTCTAGAATTTATGAAATGTCGTATCTTAATTGAGCATGAGTGTATAAAGTACATAATTTTGTTGAATTACACAGTTTAAAAAAATAAAAATATCTTGTTTAAGTCTATTGATTATTTTAATAAATAAATATCAAACATGATGTTTGGTAAACATGTTTTAAATTGTTATTGATAAAAACACATATCTTTTTGAAGAAAAAAAACTTTCCATAGGAATTTTAAAAGGGCCAAAAAAGGTTAAAAAAAGTTTTAATTTTTTTTCGGATACAAAGTTGTTTACCAATTTACACGTCGGTTTTATGTTTACCCCGCGAAAAATTTCCCACAAAAAGGTTGGTAGCCCTTTGAAAATCATGTATGAAAGGGGTTCAATTTTAAAAAGAAATTAAATTTAAAAGTTTAAAAGAAAAATGGGCAAAAAAAAGTACATAAATTTTATCCTATAAACCCAATGAAAAATGTGAAAAAAAAAAACCCCAAGTTTACAGGGGGGCCCGGCCCAAATTTTTAAATCCCTTTTTTAGGTAAAAAAATAGATATCAGAGCGGGTTTTTTTATGGAAAGGGCCCAAATAATTTAGACTTTGGTAGCAAACCCTTTTAAGGTTAAAAGGGGTATTTTATTTTAAAATTTCAAAGTATTTTATTTGATTTCATTTGAAATGATACGCGTCATGCATGTTATCCAAGAGCACTATGTACAGCCCTCGCGGGGCCATCGGCCCCGCTCGGACCTTCCGCGTAAAACCAACACTTATCAAAGCAATAAAAATTTATCGAAAAACGCCCTTTTAAAATAGATATAATCACTACTACAAGGTATGTCTATCGCCATGTTTTCAAGCAACGGATCTGACATCAGAATATATTAACTCAACTATTACGAGACTACCTAATTAAAATACGCGCGGAACATATGGATCTTTTAGTATTTTTATCTATGTCTTTGCCATCAAGTGAAAATGAAAATATTCCTACCTTCTGTCAATATGAGAAATTGAGCGACGGCTATACGAACAACAAATTCGGATGTGCTATTAAAATACCAACTTTTCATTAGGAATAGTTTTAGAATATTCTGTTTCTAAATTTATAAATTGAATTTCAGCCTTACAATATATTTCTAACTCATAGTTTTAGTATTATCCTAAAATAATCAATACATTAACTATTTGATCATTATGATTACACAAGACAGAGACTTACAGCAATTCACACCGACACTCTGGTAGTAATTCGAAGACGGACAATTTTCATAACCAGTGTCCCAATCAGCTGACTGACAGAGTGAAATATCAGATTCATTACCGATACATGCAAGATTTTGTATCATAACATTGTATGGTGTATATCCACTGTCATATTTGTCAGATACTATGGATACATCACTGAAATTACAATGATAATAAAACAAATATTTGCTAAAAAATTATTACAACTATCATTATTATAGCAAAAAAAAATATCGCATGTTTTATTTATATAACAAATCGCTTTGAAGAATAATAAAATGTAAAGAGGGTTTTGTTTATTTGTTTATAACATATTCAATCCCCACAAAATAACTAAAGTACTTCGTAAGTTATTATGACTATTATTATAGTTTAATTGAAAAAGTATTTACGTAGAAAAGTTATATCCAGCAATTTGACAAACAACTTTTGCATCAGCTAACGTAAATCTTTTTTCACACACTGTGCCCCATTTATTGTTGTGGAATACTTCTACACGTCCTGAATAAGGATTGTCACCATTCACCAAACGGAGAGGTGTTTCTAAAATATTTTGTTGGCAAATGAACATATATCAATCCATATATAACTTATAACCAAACGGGTTAGCTATTATATTATTTCTTACGATACCTGTTGCAATTGTACTGATATAATCTGCTTTTCTGAGCGTTCAATAGTATTTATATATGAACTCAATGTTACTGACCCGACCGACGCATAAATAGAAATGAACTGACATAAAATTGATAGCAATGTTTCATGGACCCTGACTTGTAGTTTATCCCAATTTATTGATGTGTAATAAAGCGAATCGTCTTTTCAGTTTGGTACATTTGATTTTAAGCCGATAAGCCGAAAGTGACAATATCTATCAATGTTAGAGTTTAACCAGAAAACCCTGCTATAATGATACAAGAATAAAATAAAATAATAAATAATAAAAATAGATAAAACAACAAACAAACAAATATTTAAAAAATATCACACTAACAACCTAACCTACTTGTAAAATTGATAAAAAACAAATAAATGTACATAGAAAGCTTACTTTGTACCCGGCAATAAACTGTGGCGACTTGTTTACTTAAACACGTCGTTTTCTCCCAAGGATATGAGCGACAAGTTGATAAATCTTTTTCATCACCTGTGCATGTTATGTTCTTAATAATAGAGTCACCGGATCCAAGTCCAAACAAGGAATTTGAAATTACCGATGCGTTCCTGAAATATGTAATTTATGGAATGTAATTATTTCTCAAATGAAATGTTAATTCGAAAACCTTTAAACAAATTCACGAATATTAGACAGAAACAAGGGCTAGTTTACCGAACTAATTTGTTATAACAAATATAGATCGAAAAATCAAACTGAATCGAATATTATTAAGAAAATTAAAGATATTCACCAGAAGCGAAATCCAGCCATTCTACATACTACGTTAGCTACATTTATATCAAATGTATCAGCGCAAATGGTCCACCATGTTTCATTATGTTTAATTTCAACCCGTCCTGAGCGATCATCAGACCCATTCTTTAGTTTGATAGAAGATCCTAAAAAGAGCGTGGTTAAACTGTAAACTTCTCACACATACAAGAGTTAGATACTAGAATCGAATTGAAATTATAAGAAAAACTCTTGACATTAGAAACTGACTTATGCTGTCATTAAACTGTAACATCGAAATATTCATGTTTAAAAATGTTTTTTTTTTTCAATCTGTTGACAATTTACAATGGTGTCCACATATGCTGTAATTACAAAAATACACTAAAGATTGATACAGTATAATTTAATTTTAATAATATTTATGTGACATTTTATAAAGATGATTTACCACACGCTATCCAGAGAGCTGCATCACTTGTACAAACACCATCTTGCCACGGCGACGCTTTACAGTCCGATATATCAGATTCATTGCCAAAGCAATTTAGATCGGTTATTGTTATGTTGTTATTTCCTTTTGCATATCCCAAATTTTGAAGAATGTATGACCTAAATATTGAATGGAATAATGTTTACAGTCAAATAAAAAAGATTAACATGTCTGTTATAATGATGGATATATAATATCCTTTTTGTATGTGTCTTTTGATGTTGCATGCCATTCTATAATATATTTTTGTATGTTTGTTTGTATGATTGGGTTTTACGTCGCTCCGACACAGTAGAGATCATATGGCGACGTTCTAGCTTTACTGTTGGAGGAAGACCTCAAGTGTCCTTCCTTGCATTATTTTAGGCACGAACGGGCACCTGAGTGGAACCACCGACGTTCTGTAAGCTAGCTGGATAGCTTTTTTACAAAGAAAATTTCAAAGTCCCTGCCGGGATTCGAACCCACTGCGGTGAGGGGCAAGTTGTTTGAAGTCACCGACCACTCGGCTTCGGACTATAATACATTTCAATTTAACATGTTGAACATATTTGTTCAAAGTGCATTGATGATTAAACTCTTTACATAAATTAACATGTTGAGCTTGAGCTACAAAAAAGCAATAACATACTTATTTCATTTTTTAAAAGAACAAATGTATACTTTCCAGATTTCATACTTACGAACGAGTATATCCAAGCATTTGACACATAACACCTGTGTCGTTCGTTGTCAAATCATTTATACAAATACCTCCCCATGACCCATTATAATATATCTCTACCCTACCAGCTTTTATTGAAGGACCGTCTACAAGGCGAATCGGCGTTTCTGGATCTTTAATAGAACCACATAAATATTTTTTACCTTACCGTTTTTTACATTAAAACAAGTTTTTGTTTTCATATACTGTGAAATCATTATTATTCATGGGGCATGAATTTTCGTGGTTTTCGTGGATAGGTCAATCCACGAATTTAAGACCCGACAAAATTTTATCCCAACAAATTCTTCTTACCATGTCTCTGTTCTATATATTACAACATGCGTCGGCTGATATTTGTGATATGAATGTATACTAATAATCAGGTCATTGACAAATTAAATCCAAAAATAGTTTAGTTTTGAAATATTTAAGAAACTTGTAACAAAAATCGATTGTATGTCTTCAGTTTGCTGTCACAAATGTTTGTCGCATGTAAACATCAGGGGACTACTTGATCGTTGTAGGCTACTTGATTGTGTTAGCCAGAATACGTGACATAATCGAGTAAATATGGGAACCAAGTGCATTAATTATCCCCGATAAAACTTTTAACGACTAGTGTTTATATGATCCATTTAAATATATTTTTTTCAATATGTATTTGTGTGACTGCTATTCCGAAAATATCAAAGAAGCCGTCGTCTTTACACTAGATGCACACATACATGTATGTAACTGTATTGAGCCATTTACTGGTATTAATTTATATGCATATAAATTTACACAGTCGATGTGATGTAGTGTGTAGTTTTTGGACTAATTCGGGGTGTTAACTTTTTTACTGGCTGGTTAAAAAATTGGCAGATGTCGTATAATTTATGCGATGTTTACATTGGCGAATTATAGGGACATATAATGGAGCTGCATATCATGTCACACAAACGTGTTAATTGCAGTCAATTATCAGCAGTAATTGTGTTACTGCCAGAGGCAAGGATTAAATTTATTGGCAAGAGCTGTGTTATATACACGCGGTAAGTAAAAGAGCGCAGTGATTAAGTGAAAGATTAATATCCATTTCTTATTTATTTTTACAAGAAAATGAAAATCCACGAATTTAAGAACCCACGAATATGCCCGTTTTGATAAAACCACGAAATTTCATGCCCACGAATACAAATGATTTCACAGTAGTCTCTTAAATAAATAAACTATCAACTATGAAAAATAGGACGTTGATTAAGGGTATTATGTTCATTGTATTTGGAGTTGGTTCGAAATGAATCCATATAAAATTACTGTCAATCATATCTATAAGATTTTATCTATCGTCAACAACCTTTTTGAAATGAAGTTAGAAAAATGGTTTCATCATTATTTTTGCTATAGGCAAAAAGAGTGTATTTGGTAGTGCTGTTTTGATATTTTACGATATTCTTTCACTTCATGATCTTTATATTTGTCTTTGTTTGGTAAATTATAAATGCTACTGAAATCGGTCGAAAAGTATTTTTATGCCCCATTTAGCCTAAAACTTTATCATTTTTCGATTTTAAAAGCTTTTTTTTTCGACGCCCTTTGTACAGTCTTGAAAAATAGAAAAAGTCACTCACTGGCAAAAAAAGAAACCAACAACAACAACAACAACAAAAAAAAAACCAACACTGAGCCATCTCTGCATTATTGCTTCCATTCAAAGCAATTTTGCATGGAAGTTTTACACTTTCATTAACCGCTACAGCAAATAAAACTTAAAAAAAAAAATAACAACAAAAAACTATCATTTTTTATGTTGTCCTTTTGGGTACATGCAAACTTTTGAAAAAAAAAGAATTTTTTCTTCTTATATTTACTGTTATTAATTCATAGTGCCAGTTCAAATGTGAGTTTTCTCATATTTTGTGACGTGTCAATTATAGTAAACCACTATTAGAGCACGTTCAATAAACTAACATACCGCAATTAACACCAACAAAGTCCAAGTGAGTACAAGTAGATTCGTTCCAACGTTCTTTAGATCTACAGTCGGAAATATCGCTTTCATTGCCGTTACAATTTAAAGCCGACAAGGCGTGCCCTCGTAAAACAAAATGATACAGCGTCAAGGCTCTGTGTATACTTGGATTTCTGAACAGAGATAAAGACTATTTAAGCATTTTGATTATGTATAGATTTATACATTATTTATGTTTTACAAGGACTATTTGGTTTGCATCAAGCTTAAGAAGTATTTTTAAACATACTTTGTTAACATTTGATTAAAGATAAATTTAGTCCCTTCTTTTTTTTTAACGTAAGTAAAGTGACTGACGTAAATAAGATATTGTCAAGTGCTGCAGTGATTTTGTTGATAATAGGTATTCAAATCTACCGAGATAAAAAGATATTCAGATAAAACGAACAAGGAAGACTTCCTGGTACCACGTGTTCTAAATTGCAGTTTTACCTGTTTGTTTTCCCTAACATTTTGCAAATCACGTAAGCATCATTATTTGAGAATTCCTTCAGACAAACACCTTTCCATTTGGATTCTTCTTGTGAATAAACCTCAACCTTTCCTGAAAAAGGTGTCGGACCACCTACAAGTCTAACGGGTGTACTCGAGTCTGTTAGAATAAAGTAATACAAATTACCAAACCTATTTGTATTCAACAGAAGTGAAGCATGTTAGCAGAATATTTTAAATAATTGAAATGGGTAATTCCCATTATCTTATTAAAATATCGAGACATCTCAAAGTTACTCATCCAACAACATAGACCATTATCAAACTTAACTTATTTGCAAGCTTGCATGGCTTTATGTAGCAAATGCTAATAATATTCGATTCTACTGGGCTAAGGGTTAAATACTCACAACAATTGACTCCAACAGTCTTTTTACAAGTTGAATACTTGTGTGTCCGAATGCAGTCCATTATATCGTCTTCTTCACCTGTACAATTTAATTCGTAGTCAATGTTATTTGCCATTGCATTGCCGTAGTATGAGTTACCTTTAACACTGACATTTCTAAAAATATAAACAATATTATAATATTGAAAGTAACTGTTTGAGCACATAAGAACAAAATAAAATTATGGTTACTCAAAATATCTACAAAAGTGTATGAAACAGTATATTGATTCTTAAAGATTCAATCTATTTTCTTTGACTGCTTTTGAATTTTTTTATTTATGTTTTGTTGTTCTCTTTGTGAATTTATGATAAATGAAATTTGCTTAATGCCATTTACCGTGTAAAACTAACAGTTTATTATACTCTCAAAATCCCATAAGGATATTGTCCGTTATGAAATATATTTACTCGGATACCTTTTGATACTTTCTATTCGTATTATTGCATATTAACTTAAATGATTTGTACAGGATGTTAGTTATGATACGAGTATCAAACGAAGTTATTACAACCTTTAACACAACTTTTATACTCACCCGTTATCAAATTGGAGCATTTTACATACAACATGTGCAGCTTTTCTGTCGAAATCCTTATCGCAAATCGTCTTCCAGGAACCAGACGATTTGATTTCTAGCCTGCCAGCAAATGCCGTCGGGCCATTTGCAAGTCTTATTTCCGTGGCTTGTAAAAATACACTTTTTATGAGTTGTATAAATAATAAGGCATTACAAGGCATTCCTTTAAATTCTAAATGTATTTGAAATTCAAATATTTAAAATGATAATTTGTAAATTTGCGTTGTTTACTAAAGAATGAAAATTGGTCACGCGTAAAATATATCTATAATGATTTAAGCATATAATTTTCAACAGTTACTTCAAAGGGTCAAACTTTTTGTACAAGGTATAATCTAATGTATATAATGAAACAGAATCCTACCACATTTCACAGCGGCTGTTCGATTACGACTACACGTTGTATGTGATCCCCATTGGTTCGACTTGCATTCTGATAAATCACTCTCATTACCAGAGCATCGTAGTTTATCAATAGCTATAGCTAAATCGGCACTGCCTTTTCCAAAACGTGATCGACCGTAACTTTTAGCAAACCTTTTACAAAATTAGTGTTCGAAAAAAGTGTTACATTGTTATAATATCATCTGAAAAAAATTATTTAATCTTACTGCTTTTGGTAAAAATCTACAACGATGACATTGGTTTACTTTTGAATCATTAGCAATATGCAAGTTTGTTAATATCGCCTTGGTAAATTTTCATTTTTGTCAGTTTGTTTCACATTATATTTACAAGCTAAAAACTCCATATTTGTATAATTTCTAATGTTTTCTCAGTGTTATTATATTTTTATTTGATCAATTTACAATATTACAACATCAAAAACACTTACTTTTGGTTGAAACCTAGCATTCTACATATAACTGTTGCTGCCTTGTCATTGAAGAAATCATCACAGATAGCATTCCATCTGTCTTCAAAGTAAACTTCTACTCTTCCTGATTGATTGTGGGCTCCATTTTGTAACCTAAGCTGAGTTCCTTTATACAGTAAAAATTGGCAAAAATGTACAAACTTACAATAAGTGAAAACACAGGTCATCAAATTGTGCACATTTTTCTCTTAAAAAAAAACTTTACAACTTGAATAAAGATGACATGGATAAGTACACAAGGACCATCTGATTAAGCTTTCTGGTGAAAATCCATTTAATCATAGTTATCAAGTTGATTTCAATTGACAGAAGAAAAATATATTGTCCGTGTATTTGATATGTTCTTTATATCGTTCATTCAAAACATTTATATCCTTTATTTTGCACGTTTTCACTAATAAAATATTTTTAAATGGATACCTTAGCTAAAATATACCTTATCTTCGACATATTTTGTTAAGAACATGAACTGATTTTGGAATCACTTACTGCAATTGATTTCTACTCTTTCATTCGTCAAGCAAGATGTTTGATCTCTCTGCTGACACTGGGTTATATCGTTTTCGAGACCATAATTGCACACTGGCAACTTTTCAGATAAATCACTGCCGTCAACAAGTCCTGGAGTTGACTTGATTTCCACATTTCTTTTAAGAGCAAATAAGTGAAACAAAACTATCAATGAAAATCATTTTCGTTTAAAGATGGGCAGCTATAAATTTACCAATATTCAAAAACAGTTTACTCTTTAAAACAAAATGTATTGTAATCAGAGACTCTTTACAAATTGTCTAAATGTTCTACATACCCAGTGCTAAAAGCAAGCATCCTGCAAACTACATTTGCGGTAGTTTCGTTGAAAGAATGTGGGCAAAATGACTTCCAAGAACCGTTCACATTTATTTCTAGCCGCCCCGAATGGGCTGTTGTTCCATGAGCAAGTGTGATTGGTGTTTCTTAAAGACAATATATCACCAATAATAAAAACAAATGCATAATAAATAATAATACTTGTAGCAAGACACATTTTCAGCATTGTATATTATCAAATTGTACATTTCCTAAATGCGATACATGTATTAAGATGTCAAGAAATAAAGATCATAACATTCAACGGCAAAATTAAAAAAAGGTAATTAACTTGTAAGTCAGTAATTAAATGCGAAGACTTACGGCAGTTTACGCCAACATCTTCGTCATGGTCGCAATTGCTCTTTTCAGCACTTGCCTTACACTGGAATATGTCGGATTCGTTTCCAGCACATTTCAAATCATCCAAAAATATGTTTCCTAATCCTGGTCCATAAACTTTAGATGATACATTCACTGCATATCTGATAAAACATATGCATGTACATTATCGAAGTTAATCTAACAGTGTGTGTGATTTTGTGAATCGTGTTGATTTTACAATATTGTAAATAAAATGTTCATATAGATAAAATGAATGAAATTGTTTACATTGAAAAATAACTTTCATTTACAATATAACAGGCAAACTTAAGTTTTAAGAAATTGTACTTTGTTAGTTAGGTGACCAGAGTAAACAAGGTGATATATAAGTATAATATGATAAAACATAGTAAACAGTATAAGTATGTCACTTACTGTGTATTTCGAAACCCTAGCATCCGACATACGACGGCAGCATCTGTTCTATCAAATTCATCGTCACAAACTGTACCCCAAGGACCAGTACTACCATTCCTAACTTCTAATCGGCCATTATTTTTTGTTTGACCACCAACCAGTCGTACATCGGCTACAAATGTTTAAAATACCGTCATAGAATTTTTCTTACCAGCATTTTAGTTCGTACATGTAAAATAAAGATACTAATGCATTAGAAATAATTCCCTTCTTGTCTAGCACTCCAATTCGCGATCAAAAGTAGCGTTATTATCTTTTCTTGTTTGTTTGGTTGTTTTTTAACGCCGCATTTAATTAACACAACATTAGGCGCTAGTTCGACCTTTCCTTTCTAGAATAACTAACCATTAATAATCATTTTATCCGCGAGTCACCGGTACATAATCCCACGTGACTTCTGAATCAGCGAAAGGAGACAAATGCCCATTACACTCAATATCACTTGGACATATTCCCCCGAGTATCGAATCAGTTACCCATTTATAACAAATCCGTAATAACAATCTTAACCTTTCAATCGAAAGAATATTTCCTAACCCAATTATTAGAGCTTTTCCTTCTGGTTATAAGTAAGTGTGCACTCAACCATGCCTTGGAATTTGAACTTTTGATTACGAAAGTAACTGCGCTCTTGGCCACTGGTTCAAGGATTCCAAGTTATCACAGACATTATGATTATAGAAATGTCGCTGCTCTAGGGTCTTTTAGTTTGTATTCAGTAACATGTATAAGAAAATCTACTCCTCAGAAACTACAATTTTCTGAGATAAGGTATTTTGATATGTACTACCACCTTGTGGTTATCTACACACAAAAAATCATGTTCCTGGGGTCAAAATTTGCCCCGCTCGGGAGTCAGTTAAAATATTTTTTTTAATCTTTCTTGTAAATAAAACAAAATGCTCAGAGCTTAGATTATTGGCCTGTAAATTTGTGGCCTTCACTAGCACCAATTCTCAGATGAGCGACCTTAGGCGATAATGGCCAGAGCTGCATCAGTACTAAGGGTGTAAATATAAGTACCAGTACCAGTACTTGCCAAGTTATGCAGTACCATTACCAGTACCAGTACTAGATGTTAGCTCAGTACTTCAGTACCAGTACTTATGTTAGGAAGTTACTAAGTATTAGTACCAGTTCTTTTATATATTCATCATAATTTGAATTTATACACACTGTCAAACAAAAATAACATGTATATTTACATATGTTAATGATTTTAACTACAAATTTGATAAAATGCCATCATTATTCAACCATAAAATAAAATTATTATTAACTTTTAAGTTAACATTACAATTTTTACAACTTTAAAGATTTAAAATACTTCTTACAAACAAAACAAAATTTTCACAATATCATATTCATGTCATATCTTATTGTAAAGTAACAAGTGAACTAATACAATGCAATCATCTTTCATTAAAAAAACAACAGTCACATCTTCACACCTCTGTTCAATTTTAACTAAAGTAAATAACAACTTTTTATTGTGCTAACAGTATCACTTGAAATAAGAAGACAGAAGAGGAGGTTTAACGTTTGTCAAGTGTTTCATTGTATTTGATTTAAACTCTAAATCAGTTCAACAAATATACATGATTTATATTTATGCGAATAAAATAAATGTAAGTTACCATAAAATATTCGCAAATTAATCCCTTAATACTGAATCCCTTTTGCTAACTGGTTGCTTAATCAGCTCCACGTCATACTTTAAAGTGACATTACGCCCATCCAAGGGTATATAGTGAGTGAACGGGTGAAGATCAAAATATGTTTTCATTTTCCCGTTATCCCTTTTAATTAAATAATTAAGTTCGCATAAACAACAAATAACACACAGATCCAAATGAAATTTCTGAAAATGTCCGTTAGAATTTACGTATAACGCTTAGTTTATAAAAAGAGTTGGGCAGTCTTTTTAAATTTTAGATAGATGTATAATTTTATCCTAAATATTTTCACATATCCACTGTGGGTCAAACACCATTCTGACAGTCAATCTTTTTGAAATATAAAGTTAATTCAGCTCAACTTGACTATGAAACTATGAGCATAATGTCACTTTAAAAATTACATAATTCATTTTTGCATTATAATTTCTCTACGCTTAATTTTCATATAATGCAATTTTTTAAGTTCTGTTTTCCTATAGTTATGATTAAACACGGGATTTACAGCTGCACTTTTTGAGAAAAACTGATGACATTTTTATCAAAACCAAGGTACTGCCTTGTATTTCAGCAGCAGTACCGCTTTTTAAGACAGTAATGCAGTATCAGTACCAGAAGTAGCAACATATTTTTAGAGTAATTCAGTATTAGTACCAGTACTTGCAAAAATACTGCAGTACGTATTGCAGTACCATTACCAGTAATGCAGCTCTGATCACGGCCGTCTTGTTTTCAATTGAAGTCGGTTAACTGATATACTTTTGCTTGCATTTTTGCTTCTTTCTTTTCATTGTTTCATTACTACCCTATAAAATATGAATATGCCCAGGGTACCAGCTTTTTTTAAACATACTTGACAAGTTTATCTTTTCGCTGTATTTTTAAAAGCAATAGGATTAACATTTTTTTATCGTTGTGATTGGCGGCGCGCATATTCAGAATATTGCTGTCTTAACGTTTCCCAACCTAGGAAGCATCACAAGTGATATAAATAAATAGATATTAAATAAATACATATATAAATAAATGATATAAAATAATATAAACTAAAAAAATAAACAAATTAACGAACAAAAAATACTTGTAATTTCAGTAGCTCATACTGTGCTTTAAGTACGCTTCATTTCGCACGTTTCATTTACCATTATTAATCATTTGTATTATAATTTATTGTTTATGTTGTAATACAATTAATATTGCTGATTACTTATAGACTGAAATTTTATTTTCATTCCGTGTCAGTTACATATACAATTTTATTACGTAATCATAACTTTTTTTTATACAAACATCATTATGTTTTTTCTTACCTTTATTAACGCATACTATTTTAAATAATACTAGTATTTCTTATACATTTTTCTATTCAATTTTAAAATAAGATGCTTTGAACATTTAAAAAAAATCGATAAAAAATAATAAAACTATTAAAATTAAATAAACAAAAAATAAAATAAAGTAAAACAAAAATATGAAAGCTTACCTTTGCATATATGCGGGATTAGAAGAACAAACCAACACTTTATTAAACCCCAAAACATCATTTTATGATGATTTAAAATGTTTCATCAACACATTCTGATTTGATTTCAAAGTACTGTGTGATATGGGTATGACTCTTTTGCTTTATCTCATCTTCCTTGTTTAATTTTTGATAAAACACCTGATAGCAATTTGATTGGTCAACACTCTATCATATCACTAATATCGATATCAGTAGCCGGCATTTATACAAGGGTGTCCTGACAAAAGCGAGTGTTTTAATTAGTTGTTAAAATATAGACATCAAACATATGAATTAGTGTTAATATACACAGAAATTGGTGTTAATAAACAAAGATGTAAATAAAAGGATGTATATACTAACAACAGCATGCTTCGTTGTCGGTAGGTATACATGTTTAATGTTAGTTTCTTTGGTTTTATGGTCATGTACAGTTTAATTTAGTGCAATATATTGCTACATGTTGTTATGTCTCATGTATTTCTATGATGACTGACATTCAATTAAGATCAGGTGTTTGACTATTTTGTTCATTATTGTGGACTTTAGTAAGAATAAGTCACTTGAATATAGAATTTGATAATCATGGTATCACTGAATCACTTGTAGCATTTCAATGAAACTATAAACTATCTCTTTAAAAAAAGGAAAACACAGTCTGATTGTTGTAATAAGTATTTAGTAGTTATGTTTTTGATTTAAAATGAAAAATAAATCGTTATTTCAATATACATTTAGGTTTCAACTAAAATCATAGGTAATAATCGTAGTTTTACCGTTGTTAATTTAATATTTTGAATTCGGTTAAAACGTTAAAGTTGGAGAAGAGGAAAGGGAGGGGAAGCAAACTTAGAATTTAGAAACATTCACAGATGTGCTTATACGGGCGGGTATTGTAAAACCTTCAATGTTCATGACCTCCAACGTCGTTTGTCATTTTAGAGCTAGATATCTGCCAAACAGCCGATATTATTATCCAGCTGTGTCTATTGGCCGTGATTTTACGCCGCTTGTGCGACCGTGTTGGGCTTTCTACAGATTCTGTTTGTCTCTATTTTATTGTCACATCAGTGTTATTTGTGACGTGTGCACGTGGCTGCTGTAAAATGTTTCAGCGTACATTTTATCATAGATGTTATATTTTCGATCTTTGAAGATTGTAGTTATAAGTGCATGTCTTTCTTATTTTAAATTCATTCCATTTTGGTGTTTTTTTCTAGTCGGATGTCTCCAGTATTCCTCAATTGAATACAGATTATTCTCCCTTAGGATATGCTGTCTGCTTTGTCTATCAACAGCGTATCCGTAATATGCAGGCTTCAAGGCATCTGACTCCCTTTCAAAATAAATAACTTTTACTTTATTTCGACCATTGTTTTCTCGTTGAGGGCACATGCATTTTTTTTACTTGGGGATCAAATGCCGCTTCTCACGTGTCACACTGAAGGTTCCATTTCCACCATATGAACACATCTGCCGATTTTTTTAAAATTTATACTTTTACTAGGTAATGTTTAGTGTTGAATTCTGTTTAGGGGTCGTAATTACCACTTCTGTCCATGAACAGGCTCAATCAATTTTGCCGTGTTGGGCTGTCTTTTATGGGCTATTCTATCTTACACGTACACGTATTGAACGTCGCCACCAGTTACAATTTTAATTTTTGCAACTGTTTTAATGAATTCGGAAAATTTCAATTACTTGTCAAAAATATGAAAAATTTTAATATGACATTAAGTTGACGTCACTGTTACATAACGCAATTTCATGTTGACTCTTAACGATCATAGGGATCAAGCTCTGACCTTTCCCACGATAAAATGTTTGGCGTGTTGCGCCGTAGGGTCACATAGGCGGTAATTTTTAACATAGAAAATAAACATGTTGACGAACTTGAAGGAATAAGAATTTGTCATTATATTGTGAACATAGAATTGACCAAATACAGTTTGCCATCAATGGTAAAATAAAGCATGCATGTGTCAGCTTATTTTTAAATTACCTTCATATTGTTGTAGCAATGGATTTTAGAACATGTGAGAAGCTCAAGAAATAGCACTGAATATAAAATAATTTGCGACGGAACAAAGAGATATTATGACTACCATACAAAAAATACTAAATCACTATAATTATGGTTTGATAATTGAACCCCCTCCCCAAATATGCAACAGATTGCTGGTGTCGAAGACATTGCGATATACATGTATCTTTATATAATTCTATTTGTTATAAAAGATCATTTTCTACGCAAGTTATATGATATCAAACTGTCTAAAGTTATTAAAATTATTCGACGGTGATGTCGTGAGGACGTTTTGCCCGTGTTTTATCAGCCACTACTATGTTATTCACGTGCATTTACTAAACCGATTCTTTTAGCTCCCCGACGTTGAATTATAATTGTTCAAAGGAAATTCATGTCTTAAATGCTTTTCATGCAATGCTTAATTGTTAAGGCGGAAACTTTTGCCATTAATAGGGAAATTTTATATGTTATCATTTGGATGAAATAAAATAAATTAGTTTGACTGATTTGTATGTTAAAAATTGTCAAGTTAAATAATTGGATTATAGTTGTGATTCTTAAGTACATTTGTTGAAATGGATTAACACTTATTACGTGAAGTAAAAATAAATTGAAATGAATCAATATTCAAAGGAAATATGTTTTCTTGCAATGTCTTGGATTATAAAAGGAAAGTCATGACAACAAGGGTTTATGGCATATTTGTATAATTTTGACTGAAAACCTAAACAAAATACAAAATAGAAAAAAAATATTGAAATTTTAATAATGAAATAATAATGACAATGTTTTTAACGGATAATATACCTTTAGATGACTTTATGACAGCATTGAACTAAATATTTTTACATTCCTTGAATGTGAACATGATATGAAAGTTTGAGTTTTAAATTCGTATTTTTACAAATGTTTTAATTCTATTACTTTAAGGTTTCATCGAAGTGGGTCTTGGGGGTATGCACATCAGGTCATTGAGCGCGACACAAGTACATGTTGACCCCTGTCTGGCTAGCACACTTCGTAATATATCTCATATTAATGAGAGGTACGCCAAATTGGAAAACAACTGTCTTTATACTGACCGCAGAATTGAAACCGCTTGGTTTTATGCCGGTGTGGATCCTATAGTGACGTTTCCACCAAGCCTCTGTAGATGTGGATATAAGTTTCCTATATGGATGAATGGTAATCCTAAACATATTTGTATAACCCGCTATGAACGTTTTGAAAACTAGCATACATATTGTCCGAAATGAACACTGTTGGCATTACCGATTTCTTTTTATTTACTTAATTTGCAGCAGGTCTGATTCAATTTTTCCACGGCAAAACGTCCGTGCCGCATGGGAATTTTACATGGCTTTTTGTACATAGTTTTCGTACAAAACATAATACCCCTTATTATCTATAAATTAAATTCGCTCACTGATGTAACGTCATTTACCTTGTTTTGTCTAAATATATGTGTATGTAAAATAAATGCCGCTTAAGAAGACCGAACGGTCAAAAGCGACGTCAAATTCAAATTAGCGGTTTCTAACTATTAAAGTCTTATACAATATTTATGGTTGGTTTGATCATTATGTAATGGATACAGTACGAGTTTATCTTCAAAAGTGTCTTCTTACAGACGTAAGAAGACTGCTTGCTAGGACAAACAACAAATTGTCCGAGGCGAAGCCGAGGATAAAATGCTGTTTTTCCTAGCGAACTGTCTTTTTCACGTCTGTAAGAAGACACTTTTGAAGAAAAAACGAGTAACTGTATCCGACTTATACGACGTTTAATAAAACACATTTAATAATTGTTGAGAACGTCAACACATTGTTGACTAACGCCGGCATGTGGGGGTGTATAGTAACTAGACAAGATGCGTTGTAGTTTCCAGGTTCGACCTTTACTGATCAACATTCATATATAGTATAAACAACAAAACAATGTTAAGTCGGAAGTGACGTTAACGTAAGCGCGGAACGTCACGTTATGCAAGGCGCTATAAATGACGTTATCAATTCCCGACATACTCGGGGCGCGAAATGTTATTTAAAGTTTAGTAATAAATCCATTATTTGAACACTACAGTTGCTATAGTATCTCATATAAAGTATTATTAATTAAGAAACAGTCATAAATATATTGAATACAGTCTCTTATTCATGTATCACCTTTCCTTTGAAATTTTAGATTAATACATTTCGAGGGGGTAAAGTTTTACAATTGCGCGATTTGTGAGTCCATTTTGAGTTCGAATTTTAGCACTTCGAATAAGTCCATCTTTTCCTGGCACGAGTTCTTCAACCACAGCAAGTTTCCATAATAAGCGGGGAACATCATCGTGGACTAATACCACGTCTCCAACGGATATCGTCTGGTCATTTTTGCCAGTAGTCTGATGACGTTCTCGTAAAGCTGTCAGATATTCGTGACGCCATCTATCCCGGAAGTGGTTGATTAACTTCGTTTGTATTGTAGCCTGTTTGATAACTGACGAACGGTCACTTGGCGTTGGGAATGTACATGAAAGGACATCTTCATAAGGGAGTTTGGTTATTCGTCTGCCATAAAGTAAGTGTGATGGTGTAAGTACTTCCGGTTCATCTGAATTACCAGAACACACATATGTCAACGGCCTATCGTTAATCATTGCCTCGATTTCTGTGATAACAGTCTGTAAAGTTTCGTAGGTTACATAGGAACGTCCTAGCACTTTCTTTATTGTTGTTTTCGTCAGACCTATGAGACGTTCCCACATTCCACCAAACCAAGGGGCGCGTTTAGGTATCATCTTCCACTCAATTCCTCTGTTGTTGAGTTCTTCTCTAACTGTGAGTGAGTGAAACAAATCTCTTAGTTGTTTTGAGGCTGATATGAAGGTGTTAGCGTTGTCTGACATCATGACGTAAGGGACAGATTTTCTGCTACAGAAACGTCGGAAAGCTTGTAGGAATGATTCTGCTGATAGGTTTGAAACAAGTTCTAGGTGAACTGCTCTCGTAGTAGCACATGTAAACAAGCATAAGTAAGCTTTTATGTCTCTTTTGTTACTATCCCGAACCAGTAATGCTCCAGAGAAGTCTACTCCTGTATAAGTAAAGGGTTTGACGTCAGAAACTCTACACTTTGGTAATGGAGGTGGGTCAGGTGCTGAATAGGGTTTCCCAATAACCTTCACACAACATGTACATTTACGTAAAATGTTTTTAACAGTTTGACGAATCGAGGGAATCCAGTACTTCTGTCTTAAAAACGTAATAGTTGAACTAACGCCGGCATGCAATAATCTAGAATGTGCGTCGTTGACAACTAACTTTGTAAAAGGATGCTTAGCTGGTAGTAGGTACGGGAACTTGGTAAGTACGTCTAATGGAGCATTGTGGATACGACCACGACACTTTAATATGCCATTGTCTAAGAATAACTGAAGTTGTCTACATAATGGAAGTTTGTTTCTTTTTGATTTTGTATCTTCTATTTCTGCTTGATATTTGGACATCTGGCAACTCCGTATGCACATCTCCTCAGCTCTGCGTAGTTCGTCTGTAGTTAACAAGTCTAATCTTCCAGTATGACTCCCGCCTCGACACTTGAATATAAAACGCAGGACATAAGCTGTAACCCTGAGCAGCTTTCTTAAGGAACTGAATCTTGACATGTCTATGAAACTGATATTACTTAATGGTAAAATTGTATCTTTTGGCTTGGTTGCTGGGTCAATAAACGTTGTCATGGTAACGTAAATATCTTTTTCTTGCCAAACTGGCCAACTGTCAGGTGTGGTAAGCCATGTAGGTCCATGAAACCATAGATTACTGTTCTTGAAGTGAGTCACAGAGATTCCCCTCGTAAGTAAATCGGCAGGGTTTTCTTTCGTCGGACAATATTTCCATTTCCGGTTTTCGGACAGCGCGTGGATTTCAATCACTCTGTTCCTTACAAATCGTGGAAGGGTTTTAGGCGTCTGAAGCCAAGAAAGCACAATCTGGCTATCTGACCAAAGGTATATCTGTGTTATGCTGGTGTTTTGCTGCAGGTGTTTACTGAGTCGGGATCCAATTACTGCCGCCATTAGCTCTAACCTAGGTAATGTTAACTTCTTCAATGGAGCAACCCGAGTTTTAGCCATTACAAGAGTAGATTGGTTGTCTCTACAGATGTAAGCCGTAGCACCATACGATACCAAGCTAGCGTCGCAGAATATGTGAATGCACGTGTTTCTTGATGCGTTTAATGTATTTTCGAAGTAGTATCTAGGAAACGTAGTTTTTGTCACGGAATTCAAATCTGTTATTAAACTACGCCATTTTTCTTGAATACTGTCAGGTAATGGCATATCCCATTCAAACTTCTGTTGCCATAACTCCTGTAGAAGTAATTTAGCTCTGATGGTAACTGGACTAAGTAAACCTAAGGGATCATAGATTCGAGATGTATGCTGCAATATTTCTCTCTTTGTTACAATCTGGGTATTTGGTATGTTTCTGACCGGATACAGTAAAACGTCACTATTTGTGTCCCATTTCATTCCAAGTATCTTAGGAGTTTGTGCATTATCTATTACTGAATCGTTGATTGCTTGTTTTTGAAGCATTTTACTATTTGAACTCCAGGACCTAAGGTTAAAACCTGCAGATGACATTAGCTCACGAGACTCGGTGTAGAATTGTAGAAGTTGTTCTTCCTGTTGGAAACTTGATATCACGTTATCAACGTATAGATCTTGACGTAGGTATTCGCTAGCTTTCTTGTCGTTGTTAAGTTCAAGGTGCTTAAGTATAGTTGCGCAGAGAATAAAAGGGGACGACGTAGCCCCAAAAAGGACTGCTCGGAATCTATATGTTGTCAATTCGCTGTTGGGGTTACTAGGATCACTGAGCCATAGAAATCGCGTCACATCTCGGTCGTTCTCGTCAAGAGTGATGTTGAGGAAAGCTTTCTCAATATCGGTTGCTATGGCGTATTTATTCATTCGAAAACGAATAAGAATTCCAGTTAAATCATTCAGTTCAGGTGGTGTCGACATCAAGCAATCGTTCAGACTAGGCTGGTCACGTGACTTACAACTGCAGTCATACACGATGCGGATAGGTGTCGTGTTCGAGTCCTTCTTTACATAATGATGTGGTATATAATGTACAGGGTTTGATGTGGTAACATTTGCATCACATTTTTCAATAAAACCGCGTTTTAACTGATCTTCTATGATTTGTCCATAGTTTTTAAGTATATCCGGTTCTGTTGAAAGCCGTTTAATTGTGTTTTCTGTACGCTTTCTGCAAATTTCGTAATTTGTAGGAAGTACGGAATGATCTTCTTTCCAGGGCAGTTTTGCAACATAACGTCCATCTTTGTACGTGATACAGTTTTCTTTATACTCGTTAAGTATACCGGAAGTAGATTTCTCAGTATCATCTTCTAATATCCCCATAGATTCTAACTTCCAGAATCTCTCAAGATCTGTGGCATTAGGTGGCGCTGTTACAACATTAAACATATAGCTAACAGACGACGCATTTTTAACTTCCGGAAGAGGTCCTGACAGTAAATAACCGAGCTTTGATTTCACTGCCGTAGGTCCGTTGCCCCTAACAACCTTATTCTGCACGATTTGCCAAAAATAGTCGGCTCCAATCAAGAGTGATATCTCGAAATCGTCGTCAGTGTCGGTAATAGGATGTGCAAGTTTAAGACCTTCGATATATTTCAAACATTTAACATTTCTCTGCAAGTTAGGTAATGGTACAGCAATGGTTGGTACAATAAGTACGTCAAGTGGTATTATCTCTCTATGTTCGACGTGTAGAAACACTCTGCCTGTGGGTATATGACGACACTGTTCTGATTTGCCACCAAAAGATGCTAATGATATAGTGTCCGAACCGTTGGGCTTTAATTTCAGTTTCTCAGCAAGCTCTTCCGTAATAAATGACCTTTGAGCACCTTCGTCAAATAATATGTTTGTATTAGTTATGGTATGGTCTTGGGAGCTTACTTGAGCGATAGCAGTCTTGAGTAGAATGTTCGATCTTTGATGCGTAGTTGAATGAAGAATAGCAGTTCCTGCATTTCCTGTTTGACCGGAAGTAGAGCTTATAAATGATGTTGCATGTGGATTCAAATCGAAATTCGATGGTTGGTCACAAATACTAGAATGGTGCTTTCGCTGGCATTTCTTGCACCGAAACTTAGAACGACACTCTGAAACTTGGTGTTTTCCCAGGCAATTATAACACATACGTTTAGATTTAATGATAGTTAGTTTTTCTTCACGTGTTTTAACTTTTTCACAATCAAGCGACTTGTGGTCACCTTCACAGAACAAACATAATTTCTTACCCTTATCATTATCTCTTGTGTGCGAAAATTTCTTAGATGGGTATTTTTTCTTTCCGGTTCCGGTGAATAATGATGCCGTCGGCAAGTGTGATTCTCTTATTTCGTCAGTTATGCCCATTTCTAGGATGTTTATTTCTCTGGCGATAGAAGTTCTCAAATCTTGTATGTGCCATCGTACATTTCCGTGTTCTCGAGCTAAATTTCGTCGTACTTCGGAGGGAAGTTTTTTCATGATTATGGGTATCAATAAATCACCATAGGAACCCTGACTCTCACCTAAAGATTCTAAACCCCGGATGTAGTTTTCCATTTTGTCGTGAAACCTGCGTAGACTCGTTACACTGTTGTCTGGAATCGGCAAATCTAAAAGCGACTGCATGTAACTATCTATTATTTTATGAGACTGTCCGAATCGTTCTTGTAACAAATCTATTGCATTCTGGTAATTTCCGTTAGTTAATGGAAAACCTGCTATGGCGGTATATGCAGTATCTTGTAGTAAGGAACGTAAATAGTTGAACTTTTGGACATCAGATAGTGTTTGGTTCAAATGTACAGCAGCCTCATACGAGTCCCAGAATGACTGCCATTTTTCAACATCTCCATCAAACGTAGGTAAACTCAGTTTAGGTAGTCTGTGAAAAGATGAATTATCAGACGACACTCTGTGGCTATGATTAGAAAAGTTCTCACTTGATAAAGTTCTAGCACTACCGTTAATGTCCTGTGAATTACGGATCACGCTGCCGCTGCCAGTGTAATTAGATTTGGTGATATCTTCCTTCAGTTTTCGTAGTTTCAAACGTAAATCAATAGAATATTCGTCACTCTCTACCAATTCTGTTTCCAAATCGTCAATATCTGCATGATTAACAATCTTATCGTTGAGATTCTTGATAATCTCGGCTTTTTCTTCCATGATTTCGAGTAGGTTTGACTTCTCCGAAAGTGACAACTCGTCGTTAAATTTCTCCAGTTGTCTAGAAATAAGACGTCGCTGGCCCTCTCTAGTAGAAATAAGCTTCTGTAAATTCATTGTGATTGTAGAATTTCTCACGGCACCAACAATGTGGGGGTGTATAGTAACTAGACAAGATGCGTTGTAGTTTCCAGGTTCGACCTTTACTGATCAACATTCATATATAGTATAAACAACAAAACAATGTTAAGTCGGAAGTGACGTTAACGTAAGCGCGGAACGTCACGTTATGCAAGGCGCTATAAATGACGTTATCAATTCCCGACATACTATATCTGAGAGATCAATTATGTCATTCAACATTGAAACCGTCTCTGAACATGTTTTGTGTCAATCTTATATGGATAACGTTTTTGGACCCAAACTTTGGTAAGTTTTTTATTCACATACTTAGCTTAACGCAATAATCAGCTGTATATGGCCGATGATTTGTGTGTATGGGGTACAGTTAATGTAAGTTTCGCCAATGCTAAAATCAACAGTTTCAATGTTCCTGGAAATGGCCATCCAATTCATTTGATTCATTTCTCGATTAACTAAATTTACCCATGAGTTGCGCTTTCTGTTTCGCTACAATTTTCCGTCAGTTTCTATGGTGTCCTGTTTGAGGCAGTTACGATTTAAGATTGACTAAATCTCTTGTATTACATGTAGCTCGACAACTCACAAAATAGGTAGAGCTATTGTGAATTTTGACAGAGCGACGGTATTTTTTGAAGATAAAAAATTCTATATGATTCAGGCTCTTATTTTACTATCAAGCAAACGCACTGGCTCTTGTTAATATATAAATTAGCGAGATTTAACATTCTCGTTCGAAGACTTTTCACTATAGACACTGTCGAAAGAAACATGCGAAAATTAAGGTTACAGTTGCTTGCCTCAAGATGAGTCAAAATATTTCAAGAAAATCAAACATCAGAAATGTGTACTATAATTTTAGAAAAAAGTAAAATGATGCAAAATTCAAGTAATACATGTTTTTCAAGTGATGTGCGGTTAAGGACTGATTTATCAGTATTCACAGCTATATTTCTATTGCGTTAGTAACGCAGTAAGGCATATTTATGCATATTTTGACCACATATTTTGGTAATTTACGTGGGCAGAAATGACATTGATAATGAGTAAATTGCTTCCTTTATATTAAACATTCAAATACATTTTCAAACTTTTCATGAAAATTAGCATGAGTCTTAGCATGAATCTGGAGGCGTGCTGCTTTAATCATCACGAAGATTTAAGTATGAGAAAGTATAAGCATGAGACAACTTCAACGTTGAATAGCTCGAAAATTTCTTGCGAGAATGTAAAATATTGCCACTTTATCTATAAAATACAGAAAGAGGGGTAAGACTTTAGAAAAAAAGGCATGTCAATAGGAGATCTTCAACTGACCCAAGCAGAACACCGTATATTTCAACTGTATTAAATCCACGTGGAAATTAACAGTTATTTGAAAGTGTCTTCTTACAGACGTAAGAAGAGCTGTGCTGGGGGTATAGTCGTGTAACTTATTTTTACAGGTGCAGATTTTACAAATGAAAGCTACTATCCCACACAAAACTAGTCTTAAACATTAATATACTTGTTAAAAGTTATTAAATAAGTATACAAGTACAATTTGCAGTTTCCACGAGATAACTGTGACCTAATTGTTGTAATGTTTCACTTGGCACAGATGCAAACACCCCCTATTATCACACCCGTCAATCTGAAGCGGGCGCAGTTAAACTTTTTATATTAATGATAGTTTAAAACCGAATTACTAGATACGTTCTTCATTTTATGTCTCTTTTTGTTATAAATTGTTCAAAAATCGACTGCAGGATAAGAAAACTTACCAAGCGCACAACTGTTCTACGCACAAGCAACGGAGCTGCGTGTAAACAATTGAATGGTGTGTTTATTCTTTAAGTCAATATTTACAAAATAAAACAGCATGGTAAACATCACATGTACAAAAACTTTACAAACATGTTCTTTTTTCGGACAAGACATTTACCAATCATCTAGTTCCATATAAATGTACGTGGCCGTGGTGAAATTGTATCTTTTGATAACATTTTATTTCAAAAACGCACAAACAACAATGTGTGGGATAGTAGCTTTTACACCAAAATGCATTACTGATTTGGTCCGTTATAATGAATTTATTCTTGTAATGTAATATGCCAAGTCGGATATTTTGTTTTAAATAAACTGTTACACAATATCATACTTTATAGTAAGTGTTATCTTTGTTCAACCATTCCTTTAATATGCGAATGCAGACTAGGTGAATGTCATCAAAAATATGATCATATATAGTGTTCATATAATTCTTTCTTGAAGGAACACTTCCAAGCCCTGATGATGGGGTAGTCAACCGAACAGCTTGTATCAAATTCACGCAGCCTTGCTATAGAAAATTGGACATAAAGATAAAAAACTGCGGGGAGTCCTATATTTATCATCTTACGCCGCCAGGACTGGATGATTCTGGATATTGTTTTGGTATTTTATATTCATCTTTTAACATTGAAATTATTTGTCTTTTTGATATAATGTTAATTATATAAGACTCCTTGTAAATGTATGAATAAACAATTATATTATTGTGTTAATGTCTAAATTCAGTATTTCAAGTTAATCGTCAGTTGACATATTTTACGATATATCATTCCTCGAGTTTTCTATTCAGTAGTTCATTTAGCGCAGCTTTGCTTGATATCTAAACAGACCAGAACAAAACTTGAAAGAAATGTCGATCAATGTTGGAATGTGTATGAAAATTTAAATAGTTCATTGCTAACCTATAGTGAGAATTTAATGAAATTATCATAACCCATTTCATGGTTAGCTGATAAATCGATGATAAATTATACTTTTCAATCAATGAATAACCACTTTTAATTACCTACTGATCTTGTTTGATAAAAAAAAACAAATGAAAACAATATTTCTTATCCTACAATTAACATGTAAATAAAGTGACAATTAATATTTTTCAGGTATCGAAAAACCAGGTGAGATCAACATTTCGAGTACTTCTAAATTCTTTATCACTGATAAAACGATTTTGTTAGCTAGTAACATTCCTAATTTAAACCCGAAATAAGGTACTGTACTTAATGCTACTTTTGAATGAATAGTAACTTATGTCAAATCTTACGTAATAAATAAACGATTTATGTTTACAGCTGCAGACTACTCGCAAATAAATTAATATAGTTATCAGTATTATTTGTTATTTCTTTCATAGAAATAAATATAATTTCTCAGACATCAATATTTAATCATAAAATGTGCTATATTTAAGAACCCCCAAAAGCGCCAGATGAACACAAACTACCTAATGCAATCGTTTCAATTCAACAAAAAGAAACAACAGACAACAGTGTTACCTGTACAGTCAATATTACTGCTATCGATGATAATTATAAGGCTACTATTGAGTTAGTTAACTCTGACGGATTAGTCATTCAGACCATAGTTTTAAACAAGAAGTTAATGTTTTATACGTGGGTTGATCTTTCGACAGCGACAAATTATACCATTCATGTATATGTCTTTAACAACGGAGTGAAGACAGAAATTGCTTCGGCGTGGGTAGTAACAAGTAAGACCAATCATTTCTGCAATTTTACTTTAGATTGTAAAACCTAAGTATTGAAGAAAGGACCAACTACTTTACACTTGGTATAAATCACTAACTTACGTTCGTATACCATACATTACATATATAAGTTTTACTCATAAATCTAGGTTTTTTTTAAACTTTAACGATGTAAATAAAACTTGTTTACACATTTTTTTCAAAATGTTAATTTGAATCTTATTTTTAGAAGCGCCATATCGCCCAGCAAGAGCCCATGTTGATGTGTTACAAAATACAATAACCAACAGTGGGTTTTCTTCTGTTATAACCTTTGATTATGGAAGCGACAATAAAGCCGGATATGGAAAACTCGTACAACAGGACGGCGTTGTCATTCTGACATTCCCGGTGGACAATAGTTCATACAATCGAACTTTCAAGGGTCTAAATGTCGGAACAAAGTATACGATTGAAGTGTACATTAACATACACGAGGAACACATACAGCTTGCGCATGAATCCATTTTTACAAGTAAACACATTTCGTTAAGTTCTAATCATATTCCCATGCATTTAACTCTGTATATATCTTGCAAAATCAAGGTTATCAACTTGCATTGAATGTTACTCGACAGCCATGACCGAAAAGCTAACTGTAAAAATTAAAAAACTGAAATTCTCTAATATGCCACCGCCATCAGTTTAGTTGACTATATTTCCTTGAAGTATGCATTCAAAATAAACTGGAAAAAACACCAAAAAAAGATACAAAACAAAAACAACGACAACATTTTGATAATTACAATATAATTTCTTCATACATGATGTTATGATGACTAATTTCATTTCAGAGCCAGAAATTGAAGTCTTTATTGAATCGAAGTGGGATGAAGAAATGATTCGAAATTTCACAGTATTTCAATGCAACTTTAATCATTCACCAGAAACTACATATAGAGTTGCATGGTTTGTTCAAAGTAAAGAAGGAAATCATACTATAGAGAAAACAGCTGGAGTTGGTGAAGAAATAGAACGACTTTTTGCAACAGAAAAAGACCTTATGAATCATCATATTGCACTGCCATTTACTGTAAATAACATAATTATAGTTGTTATTTCTGTTTAATTGCAAAATTTGTTAATAAAAAAAAACACATAACATAACAGTTCTATTATATCATGAAATTTTAGGAAATAAACTAATGTGTTCAAGCGTCATTGTAGGAAAATTATTTTCATACATACATACATACATCGCAATTTCTTCTAAGTCGGTCAGTCATATCATTATTAATTAAACTTATGTATTCAAATGTCAAGATAGGAAATTGTTTTCATATAACTCACATGAGATCAAAACAAAGAAAAGAAAGGCACTTTATTTTCATCTAAATATCGCATATGTACGTAATAAATCAACAATTTACGAGTTTACTTTATCTGTTAGTTAACAATTCTAGATTTGAAATATTTTGCTAAGCAGTCTTAAGAACGTGGACAGTAACTTAAGGGGCGTGGACGGTAACTTGCACTTTCCATTTCCATCCATGAACAGGCTCAATCAAACCGAGCCTGCGACATTTTCAATTTTGTCTTGTTGGGCTTTCTTTAGGATTTATTTTGAACATATTTACTGGCAAACGTCGGTAATTAAAGAAAGGCTTTCATGACATATATTTCATATATAAATCAATACATGTGATGCCTGTTAGAAATGGTATATCAACTATTACATTTCTGTTTCAGATCGCCTGTAAAGTATTTGAAATACCACAAGTTATTAAAGAAGAGCTTTCACCTGCGTCAACGAGTTTATTTGCTGGAATCAAGGTACAAGAGTCTTATAGGCTAAATCTTTGTCTTTATGTCAAGCGCTCTATAAACATCAGTAAGAGATAACCTTATCATTTCCATTTCTTTTAAAAGGCTAAATAAATTATAATAATATTTTAAGAGACATGCGTACATTTCATAACTGACCGACATACCACTGAAACATCGTAGGTATAAATACTTTAAAACAACAAAAAACTAAACTCTTCAACAGGTTTCCTTTTAATATGAAATTGACACATAGTCAAAATAAATGAGTAATTTTCATAATTTTCACTTTCATCAACTTTTAGATATTGACACCGACGATAAGTATGCACAGGGATGAGACTGCATCAATTATGATCTCTCCAACTATTCCATTCGGCTGCACCATCCTGCAAAAGACAGGGATAATCAGTTGTAATCTTCTTACATTGGCAATATCTATTCCAGTCAGTAAAAACTGTACCGGTAAATTTACCACAATTAAGTTTATTTTCTCTACAAAAGTACTTAAGTGTTTTGTCAATCAATACAATTTCGTTCCTTGCTGGTCACATATAAGTATATCATATTCATTTTCCTTTTTGGAAATTGCAATGACAACGTTAACTTTAACCCTTAGTTTTGAGATGTTTCTTGGTTAATTGAATAACTATTTTAAAATTTAATTTTCTTTCAATTTCTCAGCAATTTTCAAAATCAAAATGAAACACATTTTTTTATTATTCAAAAGTAAATGTATTTTATAAAATTATTAAATGTATTTATTAAATGAGTATGAATCTGGCATAATCATGTTCATCGGAATATGCATATATTATCGGTACAATGGACTGTTTATGAATATAACATAATCTATTCATTGAAATTTGTATCTAAATAACATTATATTTATCTGTATATTGGAATGTGCATAAATCTAGCATCATCATTATAATTATGTACATTTGGGTGTGTTTTTGTACGTGCATTTTAGCTTTCTGGTGAAAATACAGTCATTTTCGACTGTCGAAATAAATACGAAAATCTGTTTCCCTATTCGATACATTCTTTTTTATTGAATAGCCTGTATTATAATATTATGCCAAACATAATGATTGACTTCTGTATGTTACGTTTGTACATTTCTGTGTGTCTTGGATGTATCGTGCGTTTATTTATTTGATTTTAAAACGTTTCATCAATTTTAAAACTGATATTGCGACCGTTTCAACTTATTCAAATGGCGTGTAGATACACTCCCTAATGACGTTCCCATATTCAAACGCGTATTATTTACATTATAACAACAAGACGATTAGTTTATCAAAGGAAAAAGTTCCTTCTTTTGTTTCGTTCGCATTCATACTACTCATTTTCATTGAAGGTGTAAAACGGGCTCGTGAGAGTACAACTCAGCACAATCAACTCGGGCGATACGTACCATCAGAGTAACACATTTATGTAACATTCTCTATGTATCTAGTGCAATACATATATCTCTAACATTGTTATTATCATATTGCACAGGCCTTTCAACAAGAAAATGCACAATCACTGTACCGGGAAATGCTGGTAGCATTAGTAGTCTTCAAATACAAGCTACAGAAGATGGACAATACGGCGTACAAAAAGATGCTACACATAAAGTGATCCTAAGAACAAATCACGTGTCAGATGATTCGATATGGAGGGATTATACATTACCTGCTGTGACGGTAAGACAATATAAAGCCAAACAAATAATAACAATAAAAGAAATAATATAACATAGGATAAAACGGAAGAAGTTATAATAGTGATGTTAAAAATCAACAATATCTAATATCATGCAAATAGAAATTTGCCAGATTATTGTCAAAATTTAATTCATATAATTATACAAATGAAAGTAAAAGACATAGAATAATTTTCAGGTTTTGGTTAAACCGGAAACAAGCACGTATTATCGAGGTAAAAGATGTGAAGCTTTGAACGACCCACACATGTACACATTTGACGGGAAGTAAGTGCTTAAAAATTCTCAAATATAAATTAAATGTTTTAAATTGTTTAATTAAGTATTATATAAGGAAAACAAGCTGTGTACCTTTTATCATTAGCTTGAATTCAAAATTCTCAAAATACGTCGGTTTTACATACGGAATAGTTTGGATTATATAGAATTTAATAATCAACTGTTTTTTGTCCGGAAATTTCATAGATATTTTGTTTCTGCATCTTCCATTTCAGGCGCTACGAACACCACGAACACCTGTCGGACGAATACGTCTTGTACACTCACGTATCATACACAGCCAAGGTAAACTTTTTAGGTTTAAATAGTCCTAAAATACTGCTTATCGCGCAAAAAAGCTTTTCGTGTATATTAGGGAATATACATACACTCATATCACTGACTAAAGAATTGAGACATCTGGACCAATTGTGCTGAACATTTGGAAATATCTTAGAAATGACTTAAGGGGCAGCATTGACGGTTTTTGACATGACAGACCGGAAATATATTTTTGAGATTTTATACTATATGATG